TTTGTTGAGCTTGTCGTAATGTTTTTTATAGTTTTTTACTTCAATAAAATCTTCAAAAAGTGGTAAACGGATCGTGGCTAAGTTTGCTATTATTTTGAACACTGCTTCATCATACGAATCTGGACGGCCCAAAGAGTTGTTATACCTAGAATCACAATAAAAAAGATCGTTTTACTTTCTTTTTTTTTTTTTTGAATTTCACTAAATATTCTATTATAACATTTTATTTTACGCTTACAAAGTTTCGATCACTGGACCGTATACTCTGCTTGGTTCACAGATGGTCACTGAAGGAAACGGTGCCTTAGAGTATGAATACGCCGTGGACAATATAATGGTTTTGGTGAAACTGGACTCATAGACTTTCCAGACTTCAAAGACACAAAATCCAGTGCCGAATAAGGCGATTGTAAACATCACCAGCCAAAATCTTCTGTTAGTATTTATTATACAATGAGCATAACGCGATTGTTAATTAATTGTTGTAGGATTTTGTAGTAAATTATACTTTTTTGGGGAGTACGATAGAATGATAATTCGTGTATTTAATAAATACTTTCGATCGAATTAATCTAATTGTAATGAAATAAACATTTCTATTTTTTTTTTTTTTTTGTTTTGTTTTTAGGAACTTTTTCCCTAAAATTTTTACATATTTTTATAATTGTATTTTATTATTCTTCAACATAATTGCCAAAAATATGTAAAATCATTGTTGTATAATACTTTAATAGGTAAATGATACAATACCTATTGGAATACCAAAATTTTAATTTTATAAAAGTGATTGTTATTACAGTATTACTTACAAGTTACAACTTATAGAAAGAGAAAATGATCTGTTATACTGCATTATTGTAATAAATATGATAAGCGAGGCAGTACCGTACTACTAACTTTTAAATATAAAAATTAATTTTAAAATTTAAAAAAATGAAATTGGATTGCTGTTGCGGAAATAAATTTCAAATATTTTTAGCTACATTATATAAATATAATATATTATTATTATTTGTGTGCATAAAAAGTTATAGTTAATATGATAAAAAAAACCCATTTATTTTTTAAGAGAACTCGAAAGTGTGTTCTAATTCTATTTATGAAAGCTAAACCATTTTATCTTCTGCTAAAGCTAAATAGTCATTTTAAGTTTTTTTAAATTTCCGATATACAACCTGCAAAGCATGTTATAATAGAATAAAAAATGTTAATAATTATGTTATTTCATCAAAATTTCTTATACAATTATTTTGTTAGTATCTACAAGTTAGAATGAAAATTAACAAAAACAAAACGATAAACATGCAACTATTTTTTTTTTTTGCATTAGTAATATAATAGTTTTAAAAGGAACCTTTTAAATTATTTTTAGTGCATAAAAATATGATAAAAGTATAACATAAATATTTTTTAAATAAATGTTGTAAGATTGTATGAAAATGGTATATAATTATTATAAAATACAAATATTTTTAACAATTTTACTCTTTGTTAAATAAATTAAAACAGTTTACATTCATATCAAATTAATTAAATAAGTAAGTCTATATTTAATTTAAAAATAAATATATATATAAAAGAAAAAAAAAAAAACGTTATGATTGTAAACATTTAGTGACGGATAGTGAGTAAGTATTTGAGTGACAATTTATTATTACAAGGTTAATAATAATTGATAATAATAGCTATGAAAATATCATAAATAATTTTATTTGTTTTTTTTTTTTTTTTGTACATCAATCCAATTTTGAGAAAACATCATCATACAGTTTTGCTACTCAATATTTTAATTTTTTCGAAGCTACTCAAACACTTTCTCTAGTAGCGCATTTTTATAGTACGTTCAATATCTATAATTAATTGGTAAATATCAATTATAAAATGTGTCAACAATTTACAAAAATATATTAACCGATAGACTAAGTTTTAGTAAAAATAAATGGTATAAGTTTATAGTTATGAATTTGTTTTTAAATATCAGTGTTACAAAATTAATTTTTTTTACATAATCTTTTCTATTTTTTAAATTAAATAAACGTTTTTCTTTCTGTTTTAGATGTTTTTATTATTATTTTTTACTATTTTAATTTTCTGCACAACTTAAGACCTATTTATGAATTTATGGTCATTAATAATGATTGAAATTAGTTTTAAATTAAAATGGCGTATTAGCAACATTGTGTTACCTGTATATAATAAAATATATACATAAGGAACAAGATACAATATAAATACCAGTCACCAGCATAGTATTGTAATAATGACTGTGTAATATTTTATGTTATATTGTATTGATAATATTTAAAAAAATAAAAAAAATAGCTATCCAAATTTTCGACAACTGATTAAAAATTAATTAATAACCCTTTAAAGGAGCTCGAATATGAAAATTGGTTTGACCACAGTGAAAATAGTTTTCAAAACTTTCTCTAATTAATTGTTCATAAATTATTTTATTATTTTTTCCAAAACATAACGATTTTTATCTTTTTTCCCTTAATTGTTCTTACAAAGTATTAAAAAAAATTTGTACTTTTAACTACGTTTAGATTAAATAAGAATATTATAATTATATATCTATTATCTATAGACGTAAATAACACAATTTTATAATTATTTTAAAATAACAAGTTTATTCAGATTGATATAGTCAATATAACTTTTTATATGTCATTACTTGCTTAAAACTTAAAAACAGTTCATAAGCATTTATTGTTTAATATGAGTTTATTATTTTGGACCAATACAATAACTCAACATAATTTTTTTTCTATTATTATAATTTTTTTTAAAAATCACTATATCCATAGAAATCTTATTTTATTAAAATATCACAAAAATGATTTTAATTCTGAAGTTCATTATTTACTTTAAAAATCATACGTTTATGGTAATATAATATTAAATTTTTTAAATATTATTATGAGATTTAGATTAATTAAAAAAAATTAAATAAATAATACTTTTATTCCATAGATCAAAAGTTATTATACCATGAGTCTCTATGTTATTATAGATAAATAACAAAAACGCATCAGTTGAATATACGAATAAAACTAGTAAAATCTGTAGAATTAACAATCATCCATCATCCCTTGTTATTTCTGTTTGTGTTTTAACTGAAATTTACATTATGTATACAGGATACTAGCAATTAAAATTTTATTTATTCACTATTAATAATACTTTAAAAATTACAACATTCTGATATTTGATATCTGTAACAATATGATGAAAATCTATGATTTTTATAATAATTTTAAAATTAAAAATAAATTTAAATAAAATGTATTAACTCTTATCGCTTTTATTGATCAGTTTCTTTAAATTATTATAGTTTTTGAAAACATTTCTGTGTTTACTTAATTAAATTAATTTTAAGTTTTTTTTTTTTAGAAAAACAAACTTCTTTTCTATTTTTATTGTTATTACTTTTTTGAACGACAACAACCATTTAAAATATAAAGTAAATGATAATAATATTTTATTTAAATTATATTGATCAAATGTTTTAAACACATAAAAATTTTACCTAGAAAAATAGACTAGTGTTTATCGATAACAAAATATTCAACTTGTATAATATTTTAATAATATAACTAAAAAGCATTTAATGCAAATTGGCGATAACAGCATTTATAACCACCAACAATAATTATTTTAAATACTTTAAAAACGTATACATTTTTTTTAAGTGCTTACCGTTCGCCGACATTTTTGGCTCGGATTATATGTTTTAATGCATTGACGGAAATGTTCAAAAAATACTCTCTACCAAAATCTTTTAGCTTTTTCTTAGGTTTTCGACGTCGATCCATTTCTGAACGAAAAAACCCTGTTGATCAAAAAGCATCGTTAGTACGCGTGTATATATATTTAGTTTAATATAATACTATGATTACAACAATAGGCATGTAAATTACTTAGATTAAGTTATAAAATAGTATCATGTATTTTAAGAAAACTCTCAAAAGACAAATAAGTATATTATGATCAGCTGCTAGTTCCTAGATGGGTGACCTCCAAGAAATTTTAGTAAACACATTCCATGTTCTACCTAACCATAATTTCTAAGATAAATATAGTATTTAACTAAAATATATACTAACATAAAAAAAAAAAAAATAATTATAAATTATTTTTAAATGTACTTATTATTTGTATTAAATACACTTTAGAAAATTTTTCACTTTATTAAAGCCTTTAATTTTTTTTCATTCGAGCATTTCAATACATAATTGAAATGTATTTAAAAAATTTTAAATACTTACGCAGTAGTGTACTGCGTTTTCGTCCCCGTGCACAGCGTGTAGATACTTGCAATTACTGTAAAGATAAGTTGTTTGTCGTCAAAAAGTTTTTTAAAACGTACAACTTTATATTGCAAGTCTATCGTAAATGTATTTACATTGCCGTTTTGTTTCGAACTCCTTGTCCGACGATGATGTATTTCTTTCACTATTATTTATCTGTCAAATTAAAAATACACGAATTTAAATTTCATTAAAATATTATTTCGTAAATGCATGTTACGTACATATTGTATGATACTGTCTACTTTAAGTATAATAAATGTATACTTTAGTATAATTTACACTTGGTAAACTTACATACATTATATACAAATAGTATTATACCTAATCATCATACAATATGTGACACGTGAATACGAAATATTATCGTTTTTAAGCAATGTACGAAAGCACAAAAATTATATGTAAGTATGTTATTCCTCAAGTCGATAATGGATTAAAGCAAAACGCTTTATAAAAGAAAGAAAGTAATAAATAAGTGCTAAACAACTGCATTGGAGTACATTTCGATTCATCATAACAACAACTGCCGATGATATTATAATATATGCCATGGTAAATATATTTTTGTTTACTTATTTGGTCTGAATAACAATAATTTTCCAATAATTAATATTAAACTATAAAATAACAATCATTCGCATCTATATTTTTCAAGTTTTAACAAATTTTAAAGTCGTATAAAAAATGACAACCAAAACAAAGAGTGTAAGCAAAGAAAATATTTTAGATATTGGATGGTAATCTCAAGTTCTTAAACATAAATTTACATTATACATGTTATATTAAACAGTATTTATGCATATTAAATAAAAAAAAAAATGATACTATTTCACTAATTATTTTTATAGGAATGGAAAAATAGACCATTATTTGTCTAATATTGTTCCGAATGGCATAGTAAAAATCAAAAATGGAAATAGCATGACACAATTTAATTTAGAAATCCAAAAAAACTACATACGAGAGATGATTAAACAATCAACCGAAATGATGGTAAATTATAAATATCAATTAGGTTATGATAGTTTATATTATATACACAGATAACATCTACATAAAAGTATATTTATTTGTTTAAAAGTGTTAAATATATATTTTTGTAGAAACAACAAAAAGAATTTGAACTAGAATTGGTATTGAAAAACAAAATGAGTCCGTTAACAGCAAATAAATCTGTCTTAAAGCACCCCGTAGTTGCCCAAAGACTAAAAGCAAAGAGGTTAATTGAATTTAACAAGGAAAAGGTAAGATAATACTTAATCGTATTACCAATGGCTTTCAAATTCTCATTAAAATACAATTATTAAAACATAAAATTAATTATTAATTATATTCTATTAAATTATAAAAGCCGAAAAAACATTATTCACGGACATATGTCAAAAAATTTGAAAAAGTTCAATGCGAAAATATTCCGTCGGAAGTTGAACAAATGGGTATAAAATTCAGAGAACTGAAATTTGGAGAAAGTTGTGTTTTCGATTATTACAAACATGGTAAACATTTAAAACAAAAAATGAACGAACATAACAAAGAAATTGGACTACATCTACCACGCTCAAACTTCCAGGTCAAAATTAATGACGAAAAATTAAACTCAATGACCAAGATGAATATAAACAATATTCAAGTAAACTTCTTGTTAAATTAATAACTCCAATGTATAATTTTCATAAAATATAATTGAACGTGAACATAATGTGTTGCATTAAGACAAACTGACATCTTAGTGAAGATATGATCGTAAATTGCACACAATTAAAATATTTTCTCCCAATTAAATGCATGTGTGGTATAAATATTTTTAAATTTTGAACACACCTCTTGTATATTATTAATATTCAAAATTTACTACTCTAGATTATTTTGTCAACTACAAATAAAATTTAAATTATTAAAAAGGCTGTTATCCTTTAATAGCGCATTTTTCCGATTCTAAATTTTGATTTTGTGTGTATAATGTATAATGATAGATCATCGGTCTTTTCAAATACTTAGACACTTTAATGTCGTTTAAGAAGTCTACAGTTGTATAAAATTTTAGTTGTTTAACCTACAATTTTTTATAACAACTTAATACACCAAAATTAAATTTAATGAAAAAAAAAATGTATAACCATAAATAAATATTAATAATTATACTTGTAATATTGATTTATTATTGTTTCATCGGGTGAAATTAATTATAATATTTGAATTTATAGTTTCTTAACTGTTATATTTGCTTGTCTGTATCTACAGTATAGGTATTCAAATATGTAAGTAAATTTGCATGACAATATGAATGGAAAAGTATCATTACGTCCGTGAGTTCATGCCCTTATATATTCCCACTTAGCGGATGGACAGTCTTCAATGGGTATCACGTTTTGTAAACTGAACGGCACAGGTAGTATAGTCTTGATAAAAATTTCAACTTGAAGTGGATGAACAGACTTTGATTTAAGATTTATTAATCATATGTATTTAAATTGTCTTGTTTATAGAATAATAATAAAAAGTAGAGAGTACGTTTGGATTTCATTAAAGTTTATTCAATATTGATTTTAAATTTTCATTTGTTCTGTGGATACATATTTTTCTAAAGACGATAAAATATTATGTGTATGAGTTCGGATAATATGCATTCATTTCAGTCTTAAGTAGAGTGCTAGTAACACCACTATAGGGTTCTTTAATTAGTTTATTGGCCATTTCGTGGAAGATCTTGAGATCCTAGTTATTAATAACATTTTTGGATTAATACATTAATACATGCCATATAAATAAATACATAATTGTGCCGTCATAAGACAATATGAAATTAGTTTTATTATTAAATTTGTTCGTAGAACAAAATATAATATAATATAATACTTAAATATTAAAAAATACAGTTTGTTATTATAATTTTTATAAGGGACTATTAACTACAAAAATTATCTATTTTTATAGGTTATAAGTTTATTGTATAGATTAATGTATATGTATTGTAGAACAAAAGCAGTAAATAAGTACATTTTATAAGGATACTGTCTAATACTTTTGATATCATTACCATATATAATATTAAATGCTCGTTGAATATATATTTCAAGTAATACGTATGATGTATTTAAGATATTTAAATAAGTTAAAATAAAATATTTCATACTTAAATATAAGGTATGATAAAGATAGTGGAAAGGACAACAATTCATTTTGAAAATTAAAAATTAATAGCACAGTGATGAACAAAATTATAACGTGCATTTTTAAATAAAATAATATTATTCTTTATAAAGTTGTCAATAATGTTATATAATTAATATATATATTTCTAGATCAATATTAAATGTGAACTAGAAATAAAAATTATTTGATAATACTGTTGTGTAAATACAATAATTATAATAATGAAAATTTAATGTAAAAGAAAGATAAGGATTTAAGACTAGATAGACTTAATAACAAACGTTACTAATGTTAAAATAAAATTCTATGGATCACACA